CACGTATATGAAACACCAAGAACCCTGCAAAATGCGAAGGTCGTGAAGGTGGAGGAGCTCGTGCGTTGGGTCAGATGAGGTACGTTCTCATTCGTACTCCGCCCACTGGCCGCTACTCTCACTGACACTTGAAGATCTCATGCCAGCCTTGAAACTTCGTACACCTGTGTTAAGCCACATGCAATCTGCCTTCATTGTAGTCATTGTCAAGTTAAGCAGGTAGTACACGTACACAGTCTTAGTAGAAGTATACAAATACAATTTGTAGCTGTTTTATATGAGTGTGATTGAGCCAATATGTCCGTCTTACCCATAAGCATGCCGCATTGAGCTTGTCTTGGTTGACTGTCTTGAGAGTCTTGGCCAAGACCAGGCGTCTTCCCAAGACAAACGACATAGCTTGGCTAACACCGGATGTCTTGGGGTCTTGGGCGTCTTGAGCATGTTATCCAAGACGCTCAAGACGCTCCCCAAGAGCTGGCGGTTTTGCTGATGTAAGGGAGGCGAACTATGAAGACAAATGGGTCACTAGATAAGCAACATCAGGAAGGGACACCTCGAGGAGCGGAGCGCGGCCAACGCTGAAAATGTGAGATGCCTGAGACTGCGCCCTGCAGTTTGCTGCCGCCGCTGCGCCTGCTCTGCCACGCTTTACACGGTATTATCGCATTTTGCACTCTTTTATGCACTGACTTTCATGCTCTTTGGCGGATCTACGGCCGAGTGATGAACAATTCGCCGTGGTAGAGTCGACATTCCTTGTCACATCATTCGCCTTTCAGAGTGGAGAGACCGGTGACAGGAAGGAAACGAGGACGTCGCAACCAACGCGTGAGGAGGGGACATTTAACGTCTTGTGCGTTGCTCTGCCTCGGCATTGTAGAACCGTCAAGCACCAGAGTGTTGCGAGTGCTCTGGGGGCGGCAGTCTCAGAGCCAGGCTCGGGGCGGTAAAAGCCGGGTAATAATTTAAACTCCGAGATAAGATAAACTCGCGTCGCGTCGCGCAAGCCGCTCCTATCGCAGACCGCTGCTCTCATCGACCCGCATGTCGAACACCGCCGCGGCGAAGCCCGACAACCGCTCGATGTATGCGAGTCAGGGCCTCTCTCACCCAGCCAAATCCCATGGCCCTACAAGATGCCTTGCCACCGCTGTGCGGGACCGCGTCATCAAGATCAGGTGAAGCTACCGTTACACCAGCCGCACCGACGACGTCTAGCGATGACATCTTCGTTCGGCTCTGTCGACATGGTAGTGGAATGAGGGCCATTGAGGGCCTAGTCGAGGGCGATTCTAATCTTGCACTGCAAGACGCGAAGGGGTACGCTTATTGTCGTGACGAGGCAGCGGCGTTCACATGCGGCCTGGAGACGTACAGGGATGCCGAAGGTGTGCGCATTTCACTCTCCATATGGGTTCGCGAATTTGATCTCTATTCCCTTGTGCAGGCAGAACATCTTGAAGAGCAAGTTCGTGAGATGGAGATAGCTGCACCTTCGTCAAGCATGCATTACTCGCCAGCTACCCTGCGACGATCCTGCTTGCTTGGGAGTGCTAAGTTGAGAGAAATATGCGAAGGGACTGCGTAAGGCTTGGTTTGGGGATGTGAGTCGAAGCAGTACGCGAGCGGAAAGGGTTGTAGGGCAAGGCGCGGGCAACATTGGAGCACAAGGCAGAGCGGGGAGATGGAAACGCGGGTATGGTTGACTCTCAAGGGGAAACAATTAGCAGGTGCGCCTATTACTGAGATGCATCCGCGCTCCAATATTGATAATATGTGGAGGCAACACCCATAACTACGTACAGGAAGCTCAACGACCCCGGTCTGCTTCGATAACCATTTCCTTGGGCGGCCGCTCTGCGATCATCAAGCTGCCGCTTCTAAGTGCAGCAGTGCGCTTCAAGACTCTGCGCTCTGTTGGAACGAACATTTCGGCGTCCGACCTCACGGATGAGCTCCCCGCGCTCAATACGCTCCTCGAACTTCCTAGCATGTCACTCCCGAGGATGCGCTTCCTCAGCCTCGCCTGGTCGAAACGTCCGCCAACTCATGTGCCAGGCCATCGGATTGCCCTACGCGATCGTCAGGTATATGGGATCAAAACACGATACACTTGCCTACGGTTATGCTTCCGCGCGGACGCATGATCACGATTGCATTCCCTCGGCACTTCCGAGCACCGCCTCATCCGCTGCGAAGCCTGCTGGCCCGGACCATCGCGCGCGCGATGAATGCGCCTTCGGAGTTTTGGGCGAGGGACAACTGCAGAGATATGGCGGTGCGGAATCCTGGCGACAGCCGCCGATCTGAGATCTACAGACAATCGCTCGGGAATGCTCGGGAAGCGCGAAAGGTTCTTGGTGTTCGCTCCATTTTGGATGGCCGCCCTACGCTGGCCGATATGTCACCCTTATCGTAAGTCATACGCTGCTGAGATTTGGCATGATGGCTGACGTTTCACTAGATCTTGGCGGCGGGCTATGTTCTGCGCCGTGGCGGAGACTACTCGAGTTCCATTGCCAGCCATATCTTACTCTGCGGATGCCGGTGGGAATCTTCGCTCATTCTCCTCGCCAAATCCCAGGTCAGCCTACCATGAACAGGCCCGGACGTCGCTGCGACCCTCTTCTCTGCTCACATCAACCCACGCACCCGGAGACTAGATCTCTCAGTTGGCGCAGTCACCGCTGCAGACCTGGGTCATCGTTGTCTCGGAGGAGCTTTAGATGAGGTTTTCGACTTTCTCGATTGAGCCTTTGATACTCTTCAGGTGCAGGGTACCCGCTGGTTCCCCACTCCCACGGGCGCCATCCTCCATTTCTCGGCAGTGCTCCTGTTATCCGCCCAGGACCAATCATAACAAGTTATCCTTACGAAAGGGCAAATGAAGTATACTCGATATGAGCTTTCCCGGCGCTGTCCTTGGTCGTCTCGTTTCTCTGACTACCACAACACGAAGCCAATGGTTCAGCGCCGTCTTCACGTCCACCTACATTATTGAAACTTCAAAAAACACCGCCCTACCTGCTCTGCCCCAGGCGAGCTGCCGGCTGCGGCGGGCGCGGCGGTGCTGAAAGACCGCTCGAGATCCTGAGCTGGACGCGGACATCTCTGCGTGCGACCCCACGAACCGAGACACCCACGATCAAACACCTCGTCCCACTTCCAACGCGTCTCGGCACATGCCTGTACAACCTGGCTCTCGACGAGTATATGCCATATACGTCGGGGAGATATGCTTGCCGTCCCGGAGCGCCACCGTGACAGCTGGACTAGACGATCTGAGCTTTGGAGGGGCGTGAAAAGCGGTGGCACCGCGTGTGACGACGTGACCGGAACTCTCAAGAGCGGCAGTCGGGAGCCGTTTCGACTGGACGACGCGGAATCCACGCCGTATGGTAAGCGCAGATTCTTGCTTGCGGTCAAAAGCTGAGCGAACAAGAACCTGTGTTTAATAAGTTTTGAAAAAACTCGGAGACAAAACATCCTTTTGTACTAATCCTGCCATTTTTAGCCGCTTTGTCCGGTTTGTGTCCCAATTTGTCTCTAGTGCGCAACCCGGTGTCTTACTTTTGGTCGGGTTTCCTCGAGAAGATAAACTGCGCTTACCACCCTGTGCCAACACGACCCCGTCTGAAACGTCGCTTCAGGACCCAAAACCGTACCCATTCATGCTGTCCTCCAACGCCTGAATTCCCATCAAAGTCAGTCTAAAGCAGAACTTTAAAAGCCTTGGTATGTGACATTTCGAGCTGTAATGGCTGTGACTGTGATGAGACGTCTCACGGCCCGCGCCCAGTCTGTGCATGGTGATGCACTCCAGGACCATCATGGCGCTCAAGTACTTGCTGGACAGGCCTCCGATGTATATAAGCACGCTCTACCGTCGTACCCAAGCCACAGAATCCTCGCCTCTCTTGGCTCGACAGCCTCACGTCTCTTTTGGCTCTACATCGCTCACATCGCCATGTACTTCAAGTCCACCCTCTCCCTTGTCTTGGCTCTCGCTGCTACAACTGCCGTCTCGTTATCGTCCCTCCAGGGGCGTGCCGAGGCCCGCATCGCCCGTCGTGTCAGCGGCGCGAACAAGTTGCGCTCTGAGGGGGGCGAGGAGGTGAACAGTACAGACTGGGCTGGCGCTGTCATTAATGCATCTCCAGTGAGTTTCATTTTACGCCTGTGTGTTGCGTGTGCTGACTGGTTTGGGCTTCGCATAGGGCACGTTCACGAGCATCGCGGCGTCTTTCACGCTTCCGACGCCCTACGTGCCCGAGGGCGCAGACCCGAGTGGCAACTACTCCGCGGTCATCGTGGTCGGCATTGACGGCAACACCTGCCCGACCGCTACCCTTCAAGCTGGTGTCGTGGTCTCCCTTGAGGATGGTCAGCCGTCATATACTGGTCAGTCCACACTCGTTGTCCTCCTACTTGCATGCTTACAAACTGTCTGTATTCTCGCAGCCTTGGCCCAGTTTTCCTCTCCCCTCAACTCAGCCACTTTCCCGGACATCAGCCTCTCTGCAGGCGACCTCATCGCAGTCGGTGTCACCGCGGTGAACGCGACATCAGGCATGGCGGTCATCATCAACCAGAGCACGGGTGAGTCCGGCTACGTGAGCCTCACCTCCCCTGACACCCCTCTGTGCATGATGGACGGAGAGTGGATCGTAAGGTTTGGCGACGAGCCCCTCCCCAACTTTGGCACGGTCGTCTTCACCTATCCGGTCGCCGAGACTCCCTCAGGCCCTGTCGACGCCTCTCACGCGAACATCACCGATATTGTACAGGGCGACACTTTTCTTGCCTACGCCTCGATCTCGCCCTCGAGCGTCTCGGTCACCTTCGCCTAATGCGGCAGAAAGGGCGTAGGTTTCGTAGGCCTCGAGAAGTGGAAAGTAGTATATAGTCTTTCTATATGTCCCCGCTTGCCAGAGTAACCGATATTTATTGTACACTGTTTGTATTGCAGCCGCTGGGCCTCGACCTCGGAGATTGTCTGATGAGTAAATTCTGTCGGACGCTGTGTACAGCATGCATTCCGACGGCGCCAGAAAGTCGTTAACTAGGCCGTTCCGGCCATCTCGCTTTCTGTAAGATTTGGTTTTGATGAGCTCTTGACCAGTAATCGAGTAATCGTCGGCCGGTGGTCACGTTGAACCAGTAGGTGCGTGTGCTCTTCAGACGCATACATGCTGTGTTATAACGCTTTTCCACAGGCATAGCTTATTACCACATGCATGATGAAAACTTAACAACTCCAATATGTCTAGATGGGCATGTTGTTTCATGGTTACCCCACGACAGCCAAGCTACCCGCTCCAACACTCTGCTCTCCGTTGAGGGGAAAATCTCGGCGTACGACTGCACGGATCTGTTTATTGTGCTATCGTGTTCTTCAAGCTTCAAAGCTTCAAATTTCAAATCTCTCCCCCGATGTATCTCAGCGAACGCCACGCCCTTGATGCTCTACCTCCGCAGGATCATCGACCTCCTCACCAACGTGATCGCTGACCAAATTGCGGCGCCCACCACCTTATACACCAGCCAACTTAGTTTCTCAGCGTGGACGTTGGGCATGTCAGGTCGAAGCAAGACCTGCGTGCCTACCATTGCGCTCCTTTATAGACGTTTGAGCCCCATCACGCTTCTTCGGCACCTCGAGCACCGCGTTACCCGTGGCAAGGTCAGCGCGTTCGGGCTTCAGATTTTCTCCACACCCGGCCAATCCCCAACGCACAGCGCACGCGTCCTCAAAGTCCCTGGCGGAACACGCGACGGCACTGAACTACGAGGCACACCTATACTGGACCCCTCCATGCTCGCGCATCTTGAGGGGCTAGATCTACAACTTGAAGGCCATGCAAAGGGCAGCCTTGATGAGCTCATTCGATGTGGACGTGCTATCGGCGCTGCGGCTGAACTGGCAACGCTAAGGAATCCAGAGGAGAAGGCGTGCCTTCGTGTTGTTTACAGCAATAAATAGTTGATATAATCTCTGGTGAGATACAGGAAACGAGAGAGATATTTGGGTGGACGGTGCATATAAAAGCGGAATGCGGTAAGAAACGACCGGCTTCTGTAACGCCAGCATCGAGCAGCCCGACGATTGGTAGCTACCGACTTGAACGCATTCATGGCTCTACCATATGTCAGAGTCTGTTTAACTGAGCGTACGTCGGATGGCCGTAGAGGGCATAGAGCAGAATACTTGCCTAATGAGCGGATGTAAAAGGTCCAGCCGCCGTTTCTTGCGAGTAAGCGAACGACCCAACGATGTCCTCGTCAGTTTCACGTTTGGCAGATTGCAACACAAGGGCGGCGTTCGCCTCCATGATTGATTCGTCCCTAAACACAGATGACGGACCTGCCTGGTGCGCGAAACCCTCTTCGAGCCCGTTCTGTGACTCCTCTGCCTCACATCTGTTGTCATCTCCACTGTCTTCAATTTGCTCGGATTGACCATGTTCCAGAGATTCTCCAATGTTCCCGAGAAAATCAGAGGGCACTCTGAAGCTGATGGAAAAGTGGGAGGAGCGCGGTGCACTTGCGCTGCTTTCATCAGCGGTGCGCCCAAACTGGCGGAGGTTGAGGATGAAGCGTTGAACCAATAAAAGTGGCTGTAAACGAGAATACTCAGTCTTGAATGGTCATGTCTGTCATCTCGACTAGCGAGATAGGTACCAGAGATTCGATGAAGCTACTTGCATAGGTTCCCCATACGTAAAATTAGAATCAGAGGAATAGAAGTATGTTCTGTCGCATACCACCCCAGCGAGACTGCTTTCAGAGTATGTGAGGAGTTGCAGAATGTTTATAGCTAAAAGGATACTGAGAGATCGTGTGTCAGAAAGGGTCATTGGGAAAGTTCATGGCCACTAGTAAGTGGCTTACAGAAAATAAATGGTTCCTACAAGAATGTTACTTGAGTTACATCATGTACGCATGAGAAAGAGAGATGAGCTTGCCATCTCGGAGCAGCACAGTTGATATAGAAAAACCGATATTTAGCTGTCGCATCTGCTTAAACTGCTTGAATGACTTGATCCATGTTAGCACGAGGACGATGATGTCAGCGGCAATCAAGCTGCATCTCGTAAAATAGAGCACTGAAGGCATGTGCACAGTGAATAATTGAGAGTGCAAACTTGAGCAAAGTATGCCTACTTCTAAGCAAAGCAGTCGGTATAAGTAGAGCCAAGTGGTGTAACAAGTCTGCACATACTCATTGTTCAGCTTCAGCGAGATGTTAGCGACCACGGTGCATGTGGTGATCGGCGGAGTGTCTGCATATCCGTTCACAGTGCGCGCCCATGAGAGCTAACTCCAAGTCAGTGCAAATGAATTATGACTAAGTATATAACTCTTGAGAGAACGACGCACAATATTTGTTCCGACCGGAACAACTCCGAGTATGAGTACGACGGTAAGGATAACGTAGTTCATCCGTGAAACACGCCAGAGTGCGTATACACGTAGAGCAGAGAACACTACGCACTGAAGCATCAGTCTATTTTCCTAGAATTCGACAGCATATATGCCGCCATTGCACTCACATGAGACCAGGACTGTGCTCATCAAGTACACAAGCATGCTCAGCATGTACCCCGGTTTGCACCTTGTGACAATTACAGTGATTCGTGTGATAAAACTCTACAGAATTGAGTGTACACCTGTAGAGCAGTGCCATGAGGTCGGTGTATTCATCAGCATTTGCAAACTTACACCATACTTGTGTCGCGGGTGTAGCTATCATAGCCGGGCCGAGAAGCATGGTCCACCGGGTGGCAAGCAGCAGCACTGAGGTGAGCGTAAACCTCCCTCGCCATACCACCATAATCTCTTGGTCGAATGTTATGATATACTCGTAGACCAGAAAGCCTGAAAAAAAAAAGTTCAGCACAGTGCCACCATCGGGGCTTTGGAACGACGCAGCAGCATACACAACACCGAATACTCTACATATTTATTGATTGTACTAGGTACGCACGGGACGCCTCAGTAGCAGATTATGGGTGATCCAGAGAGAGAGGCCCGTACCCATCTTGAAGCTCCTGCTGCAAGGCCGCTTCGTTTAGTTGAGCCATGTCTTCTGTAGTGTGCTGAGAAGGTTTGAGTTTGTCTGCGCAGAGCTAACAGCACACCCATTTACAGGTTATATATATACTGCAGACTCTAGGAACGGATCGGAACAATAATGTCAAGCACAAGCTATCATTTGACGGTTGCTAGCAATAGGGCATTAGACATGACGCAGCGTTCCTAGCCAACAATATTAGTGCAATGTGATTATTGCTGTAATCCAACAATGCTTTGAAAATACGCACACTTCATCGCTTAATTAATAGGATGGGTGTATAATAAGCTATCCCAGAGAGGAGAACTCGCGGAACTCGCGGGAACACATAATGGAAGACGTACAGCCAAGGGTTCGGTCATATAGCTTGCTAATATTTAGAGTCAGCTCGAGTTCGTTGAATGACTGTACGCAGATAATGAGATGACACAGACGATTTTGAGGCGTATTTGAATCACAGTGCCGCCCCGTTTCATTAGCCTCACTATCGCTCCTAGGACTTGAACGGACGCAAACTTGCTCAGGCTGTCTGAGACGCCCCGTCTCCAGAGCATCCATGCAACTGACATCTGGTCTCAACCTCTGAGATAGTCTGATGACCAGACTCTTGCAGGCGCTGTGTGCAGCGTGCACTGCGATGGTATCTGATGTGGTCGGTGGCGTCAACGATGTGGGCTGCAACCTGCTCGGAGTCGTGTACCGGCCTGTCGTGTCTTACACACTTTTCAGGGAATCGGCGCGTACGGTATTTTACGCCGCGTAGGGTCAATCTTTGAGTGAGCAACTGGTCAACTAGTTAAGAGCGCTCAAGGGCAAAGCGGCTTGCAGAGGGCTGGCGCTATTCCACGTGGAGAGCAAGCCTGCGCAAGTATTGTGGCATTTGCTTGCTCGGTTCTTTCCCAGTCGTAAGAGAATATTCCAGAGAGTGACGCCGCGAGGGGCGCGACATGGGCGACGAGACTGCGAGAGCATGTGGTCCCGTAGCTGCCAGACGAAAGTCGCGGCGATGTCAATTGTCAAAGCTGCTTTGGCATGTGGGAAATTCTTAGGCGCGCGCTCCTTTGTGGGAGTCTGCACTTGCAGGCTATTCCTCAACGTCAACGACCACCTCTTCTATCTATCCGCATGACGACCGCTACCGCCTCCAAGTCCGTTCGTAGCTTGACGGCGCCCGTGTCATAGCCTCTCCAGTACCGTGTCGGGTGCGATCCTGCTCTTGCGCTCCGCCCTCTGCTCTCTCGCGTCGTATGGACTTTTCATGTCTCGCTCTGGCATTTTCTAGCCTGACAATGATTGAAGACCGCTGAACTTGTAAGCACCACATTCTCCAGATGTAGAAATGTTATGAACAAACCGGTCAAGAAGCTACAAAGCGCCCCGCCGCCTCCAAGAGTCCGCGCACGACTACGATATCAGGAGCGCGTGGGCCAGACCATTGTCCCACCTACCGCATAAACAGCGTCCATGTCCAGCCCCATCACTGGAATAACAGAGCTGGAAGTGGCAAAAGCCAGGCCGGAAGACGTCTTCAACTTCGCACTGTACATCACGAAGGCGTCGAAGTGCACGACGCTCACTATCCCGACAAGGAGGCGGTATCTAGGCGGGGCATGCGAATATATACACTGTCACTGAATGCGCGCGTCTTTTTGTTTCTTCGTGAGCTCACGATGAAAAAAATATCTATATTGTAGTGCAGATAGAAGAGTTGGCAGAATGCGTGGACGACTTCGTGAAGACCGAGATCAATTGCGCCGTCACCATCCACGCGTCATCCACCAGGGGCGAAGGCTACGCTGCGATGATAATGCGAAAACTTCCTACACACGCACATTGGCCGTGTTAAGAACACTGTCAAATCGAAACGGGCCGAGTCTGGCAGGGAAGCAGGTCAGGAGCGGAATGAGTTCCAAAGCTGGACGCAGTCGATACTCAGGGAGCTGAGCCAAAGACTCAGCGGAGAGACGAGAGCACGGCCACGAGTAACCCATAAGAGAAGCTTTCACCAGGTGCGCACACTATGTAGGCGCATATACGTCTCGATATTGACGTTGTTCGCAGGCAGGGCCCACGAATTCATGCTTGACGAAACCTCAACGACTCTGGTCTGCCCGGACGAACGTGTTGTTTTGTCGCTGCTCCGCAACAATCGCCTCTGCTAGGAGTGGCAGCGCACCCCACAGCTCTGCTCTTTGTTAAAACGAATGTCCCGATCACGCCAGACGCGCTCCTCAGGCTTTTCATCTCGCTTTCGACATACCTAGCTAATATTAAATCCCTTTTGGGTGCCGTTAAGTCGCAGCGCTCGCCACATCACGTACCAGCCCACTTAATTGCTCAACGCGATCGTCGGGTATATCGCATCGACGCAGGACCTGCTTGCCTGCGATTGCGCTTCGCTGAGAGCGGAGCAGACAGGTGGTGGTGCAAGCGTGGAAGACCTTGGAGGACGAAGGCTCCACTGGTGTGCATCCTCAGGCTGTTTAGAGACGTATACGCACCATCCTATTGACGCTCAGATGCAGAGATCGTTAGCAAATATACGGCGAAGAGAGGTCAGCGGCCGCTCTATGGCAAGCAAGCAGCCTGTTGCTGAGGCCGGTGGCGATATCGAAGCGGTATACCCCAGAAGCCCGCGTTCGGCCGACACAAACGTCTCTGCGTGCGACCGCGACATATCGAAACAAACGTCTTTGTGTATGACTGCATGGACCCGTTCAACACGCTCAGCACGCTCACCAAACTCTTTGCCCTTGTACCCGACGTACCTTGGCGAATTTCAGGAAAGGTTAAATATATGCCTCGCCATCACCGAGTTATCCTCCCGCACCGCCAATTTGTAGCTCCCCTCTGTGTTGGCCCACGAGATTGCTCAACGCGTTCTTCGGGCGCTAAGCTCGAAGCCGGGCTAGCTTACTTGCGATTGCACTCCCATACAGGCGCATGTGCGCCGTACGATTCATCGGCACCTCGAGCACCGCGTTGTCCGTGGCAAGTTCAAGTCGTTCTGACTCCGGAATCATCTCGATACCGGTTGGCCTTCGATGCGAGATGTGTGGGTCTCTCGAAGTCAAGTCTTGGGCGAGGCTACAGAGCCGCTAAGAGAGATATGGCAGTGCATAAGTTTGGCATAGTTGAGACGGATCACTTGGCGCCGTCCCTACACTGTGAGTCGCACTGCGCTGCATTGGAAGTATCCCGTGCTTATGCCGCCATCCAGTCTTCTTTGGCTGTTGGCTGCATCTGCACAGTCCCAGCGTCCTTCATTCTGTCTCCGTATCTCGTCGTCCGCGGGGATGGCGTGGTTGCTAAGCCCAACGACAAGCTCGAAGTACACAAAGCGGTCAACGAAATGGCTCGCTTACTCAAGAATTTCCCGTGCTTCGCTCGCTACCAATGTTCCTTTGCTACCAATGGTCTTTCGCCTGTGAACGTGGATGTGATCTACAGCCCGACCCTGCTGGCTCTACGCATCACCCGAGTGCGCAAGCGCAGTCACGAGCACGCTCACTTTTGCATCAACTCCGGGTGGATGCGATTCTGGCCATGTGGTAATCTCAGCCCTCCGCGATCTCTTCGAGACTATTGTCATCTGCTCGGTTGACCTGCCGTGCCTTTGGCACATCAAGGCTCCCATCACCGGCGCCTATCGATCATGCTGAACAATTGTCCTCGTCTGCGCCGTCCTCAGATTCGCATCAGAGTCGCTCTGGTCCACCATGATGAGTTAGCTTCCCAAGAAGGATAAACGTAAGGTCTTTGGCGTTTTCTACTTTTATCTCCGGCCCAGCGCCTTCACTGGGTCTATCGTTGCCCTTGCGATTAATGTTGCAAGTGGTGAATTGAGCATCATCTACATTTTGTAAGTGGCCTAAATCTGCGCCTGGGCTGACCTTACTGACGTCGCTCTCTAGGCTTTCTCGGCTATCACCTTCATCGATGTCACCCTGGGGTTGTTGCGCTCATGGCGACAGCACCATAGCCAAGCTCGATGTCAAGCCCAAGGTGCTCGAGGAGGTGCCCGGCATGCGCTACCTGCTCAAGAACTGGACTATGCTTTCCCCGCCGCCGATTTCCTTCGCCTCAAACCACTTCTACGCCTACCGGGGTAACATCAGCACCCCCGTAAACGGCACGACCCGTACGCTCAATGCGTCGCTCGAAGGCACCGGCGCACTCATGATTGGCCCCCTCGTTCTCGATAGTGAGTGGATGTTGTTCCGCCATCGCAGCCTCCTCGACCTCGCGGTCGTTGTCGTGCAGATGATCGTCGTCTGATCGATCGGCCTGCCGTGATAGTTTATCCTTGAATGCAGCTACGTCAAGTACTGCGGTGGCAAGCTTATCAACTATCACGGCCTCATCTACGAGGCAAGGGAACCCTCTACCTCGTCTGTGAGTTTCCCCGCTGCGCTTTCGAGGTCATAAACGCCAACATAGTGTCTCTGCAGGCTACCCCCGCGACGTCGCCATATTGTTTACAGCTATAAAGAACTATCATAATCCCAGGGGGTGCAGGGAACGTGAACATAAAGACGAAGGCGCGCCCGATTTCATTTGTAGGTATCGAGTTTGTTTATACGTGTTTGGCACAAACGCCAGCCTGTTTTCCCATTTTGGCCGCAAGAAAAAACCGCGCACAATCCCGTCTGAAACATCGCTTCAGGACCCGAAACCGCACCTCTTTAAGCTGTCCTCCAACATCTAAATCGCCATCAAAGTCAGTCTAAAGCAAAACTTTTAAAACCCTGATTTGCGACATTTCGAATCGTGACGGCTGTGACTGTAATGAGACTCGCGAAGCTCTGTGCATGGTGATACACCCCAGGATCGTCATGGCGCACAGGTACTTGCTGAACAGGCACAGTCCTCTGACGTGTATAAGCCCGCCTGACCGCCAATTCAAACCACAGATTCCGCGCCTCTCTCGGTTCGACAGCCTCACGGTTCTTTTGGCTCTACATCGCTCACATCGCCATGTACTTCAAGTTTCTCCTCCCTCTTGTCTTAGCTCTCGCTGCTACGACTGCTGTCTCATTGCCGTCCCCCCAGGGACGTAATGAGGCCCGCATTGCCCGTCGTGTCGGCGGTGCGCCCAGGTCGCTCCTTAAGATGGGCGACGAGCAGAACAGCACAGTCTTTGCTGGCGCCGTCATCAATGAGCCTCCAGTGAGTCTCCTCTTATGCCTTTGTGTGCTGCGTGTGCCAACTGGCTTGGGTTCCGCATAGGGCACGTTCATGAGTGTCTCGGCCTCGTTCAAAGTTCCGGCGCCTTATGTGCCCGAGGGCGCAGACCCGAGTGGCAACTACTCCGCAGCCATCGTGATCGGCATTGACGGCGACACCTGCCTGAATGCTTTCCTCCAGGCTGGTGTCGAGATCTCCATCGATGACGGTCAACAGTCCATCACTGGTCAGCCCACGCTCTTTGCCCTCCTGCTCCCGTGCTGAAAAACCATCTGTATTCTCGCAGCCTTGGCCGAGTTTGTCCCTGCCGGCCCCGTCGCTTTCTCGGGCATCTGCGTCACAGCGGGCGACGTCCTCACGGTAAACGTCACCGCGACGAACGCGACGTCGGGCACGGTGGTCATCATCAACCAGAGCACGGGCGAGTCCGGCTACATGATCCTCACCTCTGACGTTCCTCTGTGCCAGCAGGACGCAGGGTGGCTCGTAGCAGATCTCGGGGTTTCCCTCCCCGACTTTGGCACGGTCATCTTTACCGATACGCTTGCCGAGACCCTCTCAGGCCCTGTCGACGCCTCTCACGCGAACATTAGCGACATCGTACAGAACAGCACTTTTATTACCTCCGTCTCAAGCTTGCCCCCGAACGTCTCGGTCACCTTCATATAATATGGCGGAAAGAATTGTTGAAAATGCAGGCCCCATTGTTGGCTACATCGTCGAAAGGAGGCAAACGCGCAAGCGTTCGCAGTCTATTCGGCGGGTATTTATCTACACTACGAATGTCTCAGGTACGAACGTGGGCACAATATAAGACAAATACAAGTAAACAACGTGCGCACGAGGCGCCAGTTAACACGAGCTCGAAACATGATTCAAAAATCTAACAAGAATGTAGATTTCGTAGGTCTCGGGAAGTCGCAAAGAGGTGCTTATAGTTCAATTATCTATCCCGCGTGCTAGAAGGACCGATATTCATTGTACACTGCTTGTATTGTAATCGGGCCTCGACCTCGGAGATTGTTTAATGTTTAATGAGTAAATTCTGTCAGACGCTGAGTACGGCATGCATTCCAACGGCGCCAGAAAGTCGCTGACTTGGCCGCTGCGGCTATCTCGCTTTCTGTGAAGTTCGGCTTTGGTAAGCGCTTGATCAATCGAGGATTCGAGGAATTGGCGGTCGGCGGTGGGGAAAACTTGCAGGCGCGGGCTTTGTGGCGCCTGCGGGTTGTCGCTCAACAATGACGGTGACCTTTGCCCACCCGCACGCTGACCTCCGCACACCGCTACCAAGCACACCGATATTTCGATGTTACCAAATTCATAGCCCATACAGCCCAACGTCTGGCTTCGCTCGTACGCAGTGCTCCCTGCTCTTTCGCGTCGAACGGATTTTTAATGTCTCGCTCCGACATTGTCTAGCCCGAAAACGAAGGAATCAACGACGTTGATGACTGCCATATTTATGAATGCCACATAGTTTTAATTCTGGGACATTTTAAACCAGGAGGCCCGTCCAGACGTAACGCAACGACCCACCTCCTCCATATGGCAGGACCGCGACATCAGGAGCGGGCAAACCTGTCATCCCTCCAGCCGCATCGATGGCATGCACGTCAGGCACCGGCATTGGGGTAGTGAACCAGGCTTCATTGATATTTATGCAGCAGGATAGTCTCAACTTTGTGCTGTGCTATCGGTGTACCAATGCGTTTAAGTACGCATATCTTATCACGACGGGGCGGCGATGTGCAAACTGTGGAACATTGTGACATAGACGGGTATTGATGAGTGCGTTTCCCTCCCATTCTGAGATATTCTGAGCCTCATTATTATTTCGCTACGCAGAAATAAAACTCATGGACGGGTTCATGTGCAAACAAGATGACTGTGCCCTCGCCACGTGTACACTCTCTACCAAGGAATGAAGACTGCACTGCAACGATACCACGCGTCCGGAGACGTCGTATATTGAAGATAACTGCCAAGCAAATTGGGCGAGGCCTGATGCAAGGGAGCGGATCGACGCGGTGTACAAGCGGGAGGGGTTCTAGAGCAGGCGGTAGACGGCAGGCGGCACTTGGACAGCTTGAGGCAGAGGATAGAGGAGGAAGCGCACATGGCCCGAAGATAAGAGCTCAACAGGTACATCTACTACTCAAACGTATGCGCGCTGGATTATTGGCATTGTGCAGAGGCAGAGCCCATGGATACGCGCATGGTGGAAGCTCAAAGACTCTAATCCACCCGAGTGAGCACATTGTTACGTGAGGGCTCTGCGACGAGCGAGCTGCCTGCTCTCAAACAAAATGCTACAACAACCTGCTCTACGTAAACAGAGGTTCTGGCGCAAGACCGGGAAGAGCGAAGCAGCAATGATTTCTGGTCTTTGCTCTGTTAGGCATGTCGGCTCCGCGCCTGTGGAGGCACCAACCATGCCTTTGGTGCAACCGATGTCCCGTCACCGATGTCCATGCTGGCCATACTGAGCGTCTGTCCGAACTGAGAGGTGAGTGGCACGCTGCTGATGTCTACAACGTTCACTGATATCCTAGTAGAAATTGGCAACGGGCTTAGCGAATTGGGAGGTAAGTCGCACACCGCTGAGATTTGTGACGGTCCTGACGGACGATTGACACTTCACTAGATCTTTACAAGAAGCTGTATTCAACACCACACTGCGGACTGTCGAGCCTTGTCGTCGGATTATCGAGTGTTTTCGTCGACTACATTTGCAGATACTTCAAACGCTTGAGACCTTCGCTCGCTTGCCCTACCAGATCTCTGGCTGCCTATCGCAGACAGGCTCGGACGTTTCAGTGGCTCTCTTCCCTGTCACACCAACCTTCACGTCTCGAGACTAGATCTTTTAGTCGCCGCATTCGCCGCTGCGGGCCTGCATCACCGCCGCGAGGTACTTCAGGAAGCTCGGCGCTGTCTACGTTCGCCTGCGTCGTGTGTGGCTCAAGACTGCGCTAGGATTCTCTCATGCTAATACTGCTTTTCAGGCTCTCCTGATACCTTGTCCGTCGGCGTGGCGTTGGCATTTTTATTATTGTCTCTGCTTTTCGTCACCAATAGAAAGACTAGCGCGCGCCATGCTTGCTGTCCGCTGTCTTTATCTTTGAACGTCAATATGCTCCGCGCCCCTTATCAATGCGTTCAACGCCTCTATTGAGGGCGTAGACGCGGTCACCGACGCTCCTATGGTACACTTCTTCGCCTTTGACAACACGTGAGCGTTGCACTACGGGCACGACCTCCTCGGTCTTGCGGCCATCGCTGTTGAGACGCCTCTCATCTCATTCGCCATACTCTTGCGGCAGGTTACCTTCATCTACAGCTGTAACGTCGGGTTATCTGCAGCTATAAAGAATTGGTATAACCCGTGGCAGGATGCAGACAATGGAAGCGAGATTGAGACGGGGAGTACGTATAAAAATAGAGACATGATAAGTAAGAAATGACTATCATCTCCGACATCAGCTTGAGTAGCCCCACTACCGGCAACTATCGACTGTCGTGCATTCATAGTTTGGCCATATGTCAGAATCTGTTCAAATGAATGTACATCAGGCTGCTATTGCAGAGAGTAGAGCAAGGCCTAACTGATGGTACTTGCCTAATGGGCAATCGCAGAAGGCCCAACTTCCACCGTTTCGCGTGAGTAAGCGGACGACTCGAATACAATGACGTCCCTCTCGCTTGAGTGTTCGGCGGACTTCAGTGCTGTGGCGGCCACGCCGGCGGTTTCAATTGTACCATCTTGGTATAAAACTGGCGGATCCGGCTGGTGTGCGAAACCCTCTTCGAGTCCTCCTCGTAGCTCTTCTGCCTCCCAGCTGTCGTCGTCACCAATGCCTTCAACTCGCTCCAAGTGGCTGTGGTCCAGAGGCTCTCCAATATTCCCAAGGAAATCAGAGGGAGCCCTGAAGCTAATGGAGGGGAGGGAGGGATGGTGTGTATCTGAGCTGCTTCCATCGGCGGTGCCGAGCCGGCGGAGGTTGAGCATGAAGCGCTGCACCAGCAAAAGGGGCTGTAATCAGGGATGCTTAGTCAATGGATATCTCTGCCGTCCCGGCGCATAGAATAGTCACCATGAACGAGACAAAGATGTTTATGTAGGTGCCCTGAGAACAAAAAGATTAGAACTATTCAGAATGGGAGTATGCTCTGACACCAATTACATCGTTTCCGCTTTCAGAGAATGTGAGGAGATCAAGAATATTTATAACCAGAAGGACGCTGAGAGTCCAGGCGTCAGCTAGGGCCATCACTGGGGATTGGAGGGATAGTTATGATATCTAGTGGCTTACAGAAAATAGAGGGTGCCTAGAACGATGCCGCATGAGAAATATCATGCATAAGCAATAAAAAGTTGTGCTTGCCGTCTCGAAGCAGCACAGCTGAAATGGACAAATTGAGTTTAAGCCGTCGCATCGCTTTGAACTGCTTGAACGACTTGATCCATGTTAGCACAAGGACGATGACATCAGCAGCGATCAAGCTGTATCTTGTGAGATAGAACACTGGACACATATGCGCAATGGTTAAGAGCGCGAGCTTAAGCAAGGTTGCGACTCACACCTAAAAAAAGCAGTCAGCACATTAGTACCAAGCAGTGTTACAAGTCTACACACACTTCGTGTTCAAGTTTGGCGGAATTTTGTCAATGTAGGTGCATGTAATGAGCGACGGAGTGACCGTGTATTCGATTACAGAACGCGCCCATAGGAACTAAATTCAAATTAGTATAGACGACTGTATAAATCATGAAATAATGGTGCACAATGTTTGTTCCAACGGGGACTGTTCCTAATATGAGTATAATGGTAAGCAAGGCATATTTCGTCCATGACTCCCGCCAGAGTGCCCAGACTCGCAGGGCAGAGAACACTACACAAAATATTAATCTGATTTCCACAATTTAATCGCATGTATACTGGCACTTACATGAGACCAGTACCGTCTCCATGAAGTAGATAAGCTTGTCCAGTACGAAAGCTTGTTTACACCTTGGGATGATATGTGGTGACTGGTGAGAGAAAATTGTAGGGAACAGAATATACGCCTGTAGAGCAGCCACACCATGAGGTCAATAAATTCATCATAATTCCATTCGGCAGACTCGGACTCACACCATGCTCCTGTTGAGGGTGTCGCATTCAGAATCGGGTTGAGAAGCATAAGCCATCGAGTGGTAAGCAGTAGCACCGAGGTGACCGTAGGTTTCCTTCTCCATACCACGGCAACCTCTTGGTGTAGAGTTATGGAGTATTCGTACACCACAAGGCCTGCACAGAAAGTTATTCAGCCTAGTGCCACTGGAATTTTGAGATGTCGCAGCATACACAACACCGAGTATGTCAAATAGTTTCCTGTCAACCTGGACGCATACAGTGCATGTCAGTGGCATAATATGCGGAGTTCAGAGAGAGGAGGCTCGTACACGGATAGAAGCTCTTGCTGCAACTCTTCGCTTGGCTGAGCCATGTCGCCAGTAGTGTGCTAGGAAGATCCACAGTGGCCTGTGCAGACCCCACGGAGCAAGCTATATATAGTGCAGCCTCTATAGGATTGGGACAGCAGCCGTCATAACACAGTTAGTTGTTATGATAGTAGGGCACTAGGAAAGATACATTGATGCTGTATCTCTGGCGAATATTGGTACAATCTGATTAGTGCTGCGACCCAACACCGCCGTAAGATTGTAGGAACTTCATCACTCGGCCTGTGAGTGTAAGTGAATCAGGTTACATACCACAGAAAGATCCTCGGTGGAAGAAACAATGTGGCAAGGGTTAGAAAAAAGAACTAAAGGGAACATGGGGTATGAGATTATCATGCATACAACTCAGGGAGCACACATGGACAACTGTCTTTATTCTGCAGCTCAATTCAGGCTGAGAATCTGGTTCACGTAAATGCCGAGTGAGGGCATCATGATCCGATATCAACCGTCTCTGCCTCACTATCCAGACACTGCCCTCATTATTATTAATATTTTCCTACTACCGTTGCATTCAGGTCTCAGCCTCTGAGATGCTCCAATAGTCAGAGCCTGGCTGACGCTGTGAGCAGCGTGCATCGCATCTCGCCCATCGCACCAGCTTCTCGTCTCCCGCTCTGGCAGTTCCCATCCCGCGCTCATGACTATCACAATTATTCCGTGCCGAAGATCCCCAGAAGAGTCAAGACACTCCGCGGCATCCTGTGGAAATCAGGGCCATTATTTTCGCCATCCTCACCAGCACTTGTCACATTCCGCTCTGTCGGGTCATCTAGCAGAACAGGCGATGGTTAAAAGCAGATCTATCAGGAGATCACTTCGACTTTACTCAAAATGGCGCGGCGTTCGGGTATGTGATGTTTATTGAATAAGCATCACATACCCGAACACCGCGCCATATTATTGATGCGGGGGCAACAGCATCCGCGTAGAGCACAGTGGGGACGTGCACGAGTTTTCAAGATGTGCATCGGCAACTCTCTCCCCCCCCCTCCCCCAATCTGTTGCACAGATCCAGGAGCTCATGCGTGGTTCATGCGCGCCGGTGTGCCTGTGCTCACGTCTCGAACACACCACCCCGCCGGAAACCCAGACCCACACAGTGGCGGTATGGAGCTGTCCTGCGCGCGCAGAATTAGTATAAATTGTCATCGTAGAAGGCAATGGCAGATGGAGAGGAGCGAAGAACGAACCAGTGCCGAAATCGCGGTGTGCACTGTGAGGCTATAGGAGACCAAACGCCAAATTCCGCGCTTTGCTTCTCCTGTCTTCTCCTGTCTCGCTCTGGCCCAATACGAACGGATGGGTAGCTTTGACAACCGCTATAACTTACTTGTAACCACCACAATCTTACAATGCCTGAGATTTCGCACACACCTTTCGAGACGGTACCAAGTGCGTCGCCGCCCGGGCCGCCCGCCGCCGCCCGTACGGGACGCAATGTCACAAGCGAGCAAAGCCGTCGTCCCACCAGCTGCACCAGCAGCATTTGCCCCCAGCCTACTAACAGAACAATGGGACAAGCGTCTTTGAAGCGCAAGTGAGAACTTGCCCTCGATTGTGCACTGGAGGGTACGAAGACGTCGGAGCATGCGATGCGCATTTTCATGACATGGCGGTGGAGTACAGGTGAGGCATGGAGACCAAGTGCGTGTATTTATCCCCCTCTGTCTTAGTTCATGAAACTCACCTGAATCTTATAATGCAGATGGGAGCGACGGCAGAGTGCGTGAGCGAGCTTGCGAAGACCGAGATGACTGCGCTATCGCCATGCACATATCACCCACGTGGAAACGGGGACTACGCTGGGACGGTGCGAATAAATTTCTACTCTCCCAGCTGTACCGTGTTAAATGTGATTGACAGACGGGATGGGCGAGGCATGGTACCTGAAGCAGACTGAGGAAGTATATGAGCGGGACGGGCTCTAGCGCTGTGCGCAAGCGATACTTGAGGTTCTAAAGCAGGAGTCCGAACAGATAGACGGAAACGTGGACATGAGTGGCAGTCGAAAAGGAGTGCAGCAGGTGCGCGTACTACTTGGTTGTATATATGCTGCATTATTGACGCTGTTTCTAGAGTTTCAGGGTATACTAATAGCTCATAAATACATGCGTGACGAAAGCTCAATAATCTCAATCAGTCGATCCGAGACATGTTACATTATGATTGCTCCACGACAATAAAGCTCACAACTTGAAATCTCTACTACGCCCCGTCGAAACGAACACCTCGGCGTACGATTGCACGGTCCCGTCTATTGCTACAAGACTCTGCGCTCCCTGGAAACACACGTCGTGGCGGACGGCCGCGCGAGCATGCTTATCCCAATCACTTCGTTCCTGAAACCCGTCTCTCGACGCACCTTGGCGAATGCCAGGAAGGAGTAGACGAACCTTTTGCCAGTGTCACAGGCGCGCTTACGACTGCACGTCACCATCATTGCGTCATCTAGCTCTGATGACGTCATCATCAGTCGATCCCCGTTCTCGCATTGGCCTACGGGGGAGGTATGGCGAGGCGGAACCTCGAGAGCCGACGCGGACCTCAGTCTACGATGATCAAAGCACGATTACCCTACGGTCGTTGTATCAATCATCATATCTATTGGCGGAATAAGGCCCTGTAAGTTAACTGACACCCGTGTCGCCGAGTCGAATACTATGCACTGGATAGCTGAAGGTAAGTCCCACACCACAGATGGTCACGACGATGACTGACAATTTCTAGAAGTCTATTGTGGTATATACTTAATGCCGCGACAAAGACTACCCGAACCCCGTCTCCACTGACTGATTTGGGCGTTGCAGCGATATTACTCCCCGCCCACAGTTGCTGGCACGTTCCAAAATCCAGACATCTCACTCGCCGCTATCGCCGTCTGCCTGGAATACCTGGTTGCTACCGCGGAGAAGCGCCGCGCGAGGTTCTCGACCTCATTCTGCCGAGATCCTGGCTTTCTTCTGCGGATTTGTGAAGTTAAGCGGCGCCTCGCTTATCTCGAACATGCGCTACCGAGGTACAGGACGCCTACCATTGTTGCAATGACCTCCTCTGTTTCATAGAAGTGCTCCTCCGGTCCGTCTGAGAGTCTACTATAATGGAATATCTGCTCAAACAGAACGAAGGCAAGATATTAAGCAGGTTCCGTGACGTCCTCCAACTCGATGATTGTACCCGTAATTTCACATGCCAGCGTTGTCTCCCAGGTCTCGCTCTTCATCGGTGTCATATCAGCGTTCTTTGCTCTGCTTCCACACCACGAGCTGCCAGTGCTCTTCGCCTGTGAACGTGACTACGTTGGTCGGCCCGGCTCATACACCTAAAGCCTCTCGGCGGCGCAGACACGTTCGTTGGCGCGCTCAATTTTGGTTTCTATTTGCTCGAGAACAAATGGATGTCGCGCTACCAACGCAGCTACCTTGGTCTCGCGGCCATTGTCATTTAGATGATCATCGGCTGAGTCGCCTGCCTCTCGTGGCAAGTCACGTTTAATTACAGCTACGTCAAGGACAGCGACTGTGAGCGTCTCGAACACTACGATGGCGGCTACAAGGGGGAGCGCACCCTTTATAATATACTCTCCGTGAGCTCTCCAGACTCCCGTTGCGCTTTGAAAGGCGCAAACTCTGACGTAGAGCCTTTGCAGACTGCTCCTACGACACTAGCTACCCAGGCACCCGTGTGCTAGACGATTTCAGCGCTATAGGACCACCCATTTACGCATGCGCACCTTGTGGGCTTCTGTAAGCCCCATTCAGAGGGCAGGCTTGGCGAGCGCTCCTGGAGTGGACGCAATGTCTCTCTCGCTGCTAAATGGGCATCGTTCAGAGATTTACGGGGACAAGATGTATTGTCGTAACATTGTCAATAATGCATAATTAGTATGACCCCTAGCAGAGTACATGAAACGAGCGCGAGACCGAATTGAGTGGTACAAACGAAGACCGAGACGTGAAGAGATGATCATCCTCTTAGACGCTAGGGCCCGGCGGGCAGTACCGTAAGATCATTGTCACGGTATCCTTGAGCACTGGCGAGCTCACAGCGCGCTCCTGTCGAGGGTGCAGCCTTCAGAACCGTGCCGAGAAGCATGAGCCACCGAGTACTGAGCAGCAGCGCCTGGGTGACCGTAAGCTTCGTTTCCCATACCGCACTGGCAATTTCTTGGTCGAGGGTTGTGGTGCAGTCTATGAATACGCCATAACGCTCGACCAAGAAATTGTTCAGACCAGTACTACCGCCGGGGCTCTGTAGCAGGAACAGTATCGAAATTTCCACATATTGGCCTGTCATACGGTACGCGTCAGTGGCAAGGTCCACGTAGCCCAGGGAGAGATCACTGTCCGCAGATGATAGAAGCTCCTGCCACAGCTCTTCATTTGACTGAGTCATTCGTCTGTGGTGGTGTGGTGAGAAGGCGCAAATGGGTTGGTGCAGGGCGGAGAATCCGTTTGGGGGCATTATATGCTGCAGCACAAACACCGTAGAAGCAGTTCAAGACAGATATCGCAATTGTGGATTCTATCAATGCGTACAGTACATATGATGATTGTAGTCATCGTAACAGTAGAGAACCATCATGGTGCAAGGCGTGATATCTCGGGCGACACCAGTGTAGCTGCGTGATCTTCGTCGTCAGACGAGATTACAATGAACACAGCGCCTCAGATCCTCAGATTGCATAGGTAGTTGGCGATGTTGCGCCCGGAGGCAGGCATCTCAAAAATTGGATACGTTGATAGACATATTGAGCACCGCAAGGGGGCTGAGTATGAAAGAGGCCGCATATACATACGCGTCGGTGCAAATACGTGCGCGTCGGTGTGCCTACATGCACATATGCTCACGAACGCGCACTTATTTGAACTTACGTCAGCGTCTATCTGCCCACTTGCGAGTTTGCCTCCACTCTCTGCGAGTTTCTCTATTTTTGTCCACCATCAACCTTCATAGGAGACGCACAATGTTGCGTTCAACGAGAGACGACGGGACTTCGTGATGGGATGGAGAGATCAGTGCAATTGGCATGGATACACACCTGCCCAGGCTCCTGCAGGCTATGACTCGGTTGAAATACGTACACACTCCTGCCCTACGTGACCGTACATGGCGCTGGCGTACAATTCGACCAGCTAGTCCAACAAAATGTTCTGCTTTGGATGGAAGAGAGTGTCATTGCAGTCCACTATTATTCAATGGCATCAACATCACCGGAACTTTGAAGATGTACTGACTGAGATGCGCTATCTTCGAGCACGCGCGCAGCCACGGCCGCCCCACTTATGACAAGGTCGTAGCTGGGCAAGCCTGGTAGATGATATGCACAAAATATGGCCTTCAACTGTCTGATGTTCGCCTGGTACTACGTTCATCACAGTCACCGTCGGCGACTCATAGGTACAGCCGCGTGCAGGCCCGCAAGCTATGATAAGTTTTGCGACTGACATCACAATGGAGGTGCAGTACTTCCTAAGTTGCATGCCGGGCGAATCTTTGGAGATGAAAGCAGTTGATACTGAATTACGATCGTGCTAGGCCATAGACTCCAGGCCGCCCTTGCTGTGCGCGTCGCGACACAATCCGCAGGCGCGGGCTTCGTGGCGCTTGCAGGCTCTTCAATTCGACTACCATCTCCATCGACCCACTTGTCCTAATGGCAACTCGACGTTGTCGAGCCGTCAACGCGTCAACTCCCTCCGGTGCCGGAAACGGTCTCACACGTACGCTTTGCGCTCCGCTCTTCCGCGTCGTACGGACTTCTCATGTCTCTCTTCGACATTTCCAGGCCCGAAAATAATGGCTAGATAATCTTGAAAACGGCTGCATTGTAGCCACCGCAATTCTTCAACGTAGGAAGCTCATGCACAGGCTGGTTGAGGCGGCGCGGAGTGCCCCTACAAGGAGTTAAACAAAGCCTGGTACCGGGACCGGATCGGGGCAGTATACGAGCGGATGAGGTTTTAGAGCTGGGCGCGGGCGACGCTTGGGGGGTTTGAGGCGGAGGACATGGCGAGAGAGCAAGAGACGTGGATCGGGTGCGCGTATTGCTCAGATGCATGCATTCTCCGATGCTGATATTGTCCAGAGGCAGAACCCATAAATGCACGCATGACGAAAGCCCAACGACTTCACTCTGCTTGGAGAACCGTGTCGCTCTGCGAGAACAACCCAATCTCGACTAACAAGCTGCCATCACAGAATGTAGGAGCAGGTTCAAGACTCTACGTTTTGCCGAGATGGACGTCTCTGTGTACAACCGCACGGGCTTGTTCATCGAGATCAACACGCTCCGGAGACGTCAATAATAACCACATTCCCAAAGACGCGCTTCCTGAGCATCGTCAAACCCTTCATCAGCGCCACCAAGTTCAAGCCTCCGCCACTTTACCTGCTAGACCACCGAATTGGCCAATACGATTGTCGTGCGTGCCGAGCCAAAGCACAATCTGCTTGCCTTCGATTATGCTTCTGGCCAGACATAGACGTAATTGCATTCCTTCGGCACTCCAGCACCGCGTCATTTGCCGCGAAGCTAGCAGCCTCAGATTTTCGGACCACCTTGTCGTCAGTCGATCTATCGCGCGCGATTCGACACTCTAATAGAACTCCGCTGACAGCCATGTTCCACGCCGGCTACATGACATGCCCTAGGTTCTGTCGTCCCGACGCCGTCGCTGCCTTCAGCGTTCCTTATACCGTCGAAGCATGACGCAGGGGACTCAGCGCAGTCGCTACGTTCCCTCACATCGTGAGTAGCTCAACAGCGTGCCGGGTCTCGCTCATGCCAACGTCGCTTCTCAGGTCCTCATCATCATCATCATGTTCGTCAGCGCAGCTATGGTGTTCCTAGTTTTGTCCCCGCACCTAGCTGTCGTGACGATAACACAACCATGGGACTAGTGATGTGCGGGCCGGGCCTCAAAGCCCGCGAGCCCGCCAAGCCCGGCCCAAAAAGCCTGACCCGAGCTAAGCCTGGCAGCGGGCTCAAGGCCGGGCTCGGAGCGTAGTCAAGCCCAAGCCCGGCCCGAAAGCCCAGGCTTGGGTGCACCAAATGTGTTGCCGTTCCCTGGGCTCAAAACATGGTAAGAACAACTTTATATACACATACGAGACGGGACGTTGACTTACCGGACTGGGCGGTCCCTGCTAGTGTGACTAGGCGCAATTGTGCGCCACCGCCTGGCGTTCGCCGTAGGCGCCCCTTCGCGAACCTTGTCATAACATGGCTTGTAGCGCGGTCGCATGCCCTCTGGAGGCTGCAGTACGGTGGGTACATGCAATAGCAGCCTATCACATACAAATATGCTCACGTTCGTAGCATATAAATACTTGTCCTAAGCCTTGCAAGCCCGGGCTTAAGCCCACGGCTTGGGCCGGGCTCAGGCTCGGCTCGGGCTCAGGGCTCGTCTTGGCGTCGCCACAAGCCCAAGCCCGGGCTTTGAGCCCAAGCCGGGCCCGCACATCACTACATGGGACTCGCCGAAAACTCCAAGCGTACAAGAAGCTCGTCGGTACGGGTTCGCCTGCCGGAGGGCTGGCGTACGCCTTGCATTCTGCCTTTGTTGTTCACCTTCGAACGCGAATGGGTTCGGCGCACCGACCCGTGTGCTCAAGGCTCTTCTCGAGAGCATGGACGTGATATTCGACGCTCTCATTGTCGAATCCGTTTTCCACGACAATCAGTGAATATTGCGTTACTAGCGCAACTGCTTCCGTCTCGCGGTTATCGCCATCGAAGCGGCCATTTCCTCGCTCACCAGACTCTCACAGCAGGCCATTCTCACCTCCGTCCCCAACACTGTCAAGGGTCACGACGACGAGCGTCTCAAATGCGAGGACAGAGGCATGGTTCTTCCCTTCTGTGCGAGGCCCTGATAGCTCGATTATAAATGGAAGCCACGCCGCCACTGCGATCACCTCGGGTCCGCAGTAGTCGTGGTCTGGATCGTCGGCGTTTAACCAACGACCTCTCGTAATGGGTCACTTCGATCGAGACGATGTCGAGTATATCGACGACGACATCAATCGTAAGAGAAATGATATCCTGACCCTGTAAGTTTTCACCTCCTGCGACGCACGTGCACGAGATGCTGAAGGTGCACTCTTGCAGACTGCTCCTGGAAAGCACACCGTTAGGCACTTGCGTTCTAAGTTGATTCTGCGCTCTATGCTGGCCTTTTCACGCTCGCCTACTCTGCGAGGCTCTACAAAGCCGCGTAGAGTGCAGGAATCAGACTTCGCAGGGCCGGCTCAGGATGATCACTGCGCTGACATCGCTGCTGAACGACCACTTATCGATATGGGTGATATTGCTTGTCTCTTGCGCGCCCACATCTTACCTGGACGTTGTAAAAACATTAAGATAAAAACGGTGAATGCCATGGCGCAGATTTGTGGCGCCGGTCGCAGCCGGAAAATCCCGCTCTGGTGAAACCCTCGAACCTGAACTCGACGTCAATGGCGACTCGTATCCGACACCAGACACTTTTCTCCGCACATTCGGCCTTCCGCACGGGGGATGCGATGCCTTCTATGATGTAGCCCGACGCCTGAAAGGCGAGTGTAGCACGCTCTGCATGTATGCTATCATTCGCTTCAAATTGAAATCCCACACAACTGAAAGTCATTCATTCGAGTAGCGAGATTTATACAAGATGCTTTAAGCTAAAGTGTCGAGGCGCAGCGGTGTCGCCGTTCACTGGGCCAGCCGGGCACATAGGCGCCTTGACGTGGAACTCTCCCTTGGGTTTTCGCATGGTATGTCCGAAATCTTCTCGTACGCAGGGTTTTTCCACCGAAGGCGTCATTTAGAAGATGGCTGCATGATTAGAATTCACTTGCAGGAAATTAGCTGCAGGTCGGGATGCAGCATGGTACCACGGCATCGAAGGCTCCCTCTCGCGATGGCATCTGATGTACGCTCAGAGCTTCCATGCATAATCATAATTCCATCACAATCTATCATTGTATTGGACAGTGTTGCCGGAAACTTCTCACTGTACCATCTCGACATCAAGATAGAAGTCGGTCCTGCATGAGTTAAAGAGGCGTTGGCTCCCGTGTCTAGCAACCCTTCTATCCTTCTCGCAGCATAGTTCTTCTCGCGACATATCACGGCACTTTTTTGATGTATGATCAGCCCCATGCTCCTGCCGTGTAAGTGCCGCTGCTTTCCTCATGATAATAGATCTAACTTGAGCGTTTGTGATGCAGGGCAGGACCGCTGGTAATCTATCACTTGTTGTCATGGAAAGCAGAGGTTAACTGACTTCCTCAGCTCCTCGGATATCTGCTCAACTGGGGCCTTTACGGCTTGCTTTGTGTCCAGGTCTGTGCGTACTCTGTCCTTATCTCTCATTCGTAGCCTGCTCACCGTCAAACAGGCATTTACTACCTGGCTTTCCCACATGATGGACGCCGAACGAAAACTCTTGTGTACGGCGTCCATGCACTCGAGACAGTTCAGACGATTATCGTCACATACGACGCCTTCATGCGTTATGCCGTGCACTACGGAGATTTTAGCGCGCTGAGCGCGGCCCAGTTGGACTGGTTCGCTGTGCCAGTTCTGAGCGGCGTTCGTAAGTCAGTAATGTTGACCAATCATGCAATTTTGCTCATCGCATACCAAGTAAGCTGTACTGTACAGTGCTACTACGCACATAGAATTCACGTCCTATCACGCTCTTGGCCGCTTACTATGGTGATTTCGCTGGTTCGCTGATTCCTCGAGTATCAGGGGGAGGAAAAGTTAACGCCTGCCTGCATTCACCAGCTCGCTTTCAGTCAAGCATCTGCTGCCATCGTTCAGGGCGCCCAGGCTTGCATCATCGGTAACTTTTCGGAGCTCCGGTCAAATGCTCTTGCAAGCGCTATCGTGCGCTCCCATCTTCGCTACGAGACGTTTCGCTGACTTATGTTGTAGATTTGGCACGCTGGAAGCGCTGCCTGCGATCTCATCATTGCGGCCTCTGCCACATTCTTGGTCTGTCAAGGTTTCTCCACGGGTCCTCAGAGTTAACCATCTATTGGAAACAGTTCCAGCGATTTGATACCGAATTTGCGGTGGCTAGGGTTAAGATCACAAGAGTCATCAACCTCATCGTTCAGACCGGCATCCTCACCGGTGAGTCCTTCCACCCCTTCCCCGCCTGTTCGCTCACGCAGAGGGTTGTCCAGCATTCATCGCGACGCTGGATCTTGTACTCTTCGCGGCGTACCCGCACCGCGCGTACTACGCCTGTGTCGCGCTTACAATCACGAAGCTCTACTCGACCACGCTCCTTGTGAGCCTGAATAGCCGTGTGCGGATTGTGGGCGGCCGCATGGGTAGCTTACACATCACAGACGCCGTCGAACATAGCTGGGCAAGCGCCAGACGTGCTGAAGTGGCTACGCGACGTACGGCGTCGGCCGGGGTCGGCCCTATCACGAGTTTGTCGCAGGTCGAGGAGCTGCAGTTACGTGCGTACTCCGAGCATGGGATATCTCAGTTGGTGAGTGTACGCCTATTTGGAATCGATGATGAGGCTGAGTGGCTTTAGACTGGGAAGGTAGAGGAAAGAAAAACCGCCGAGATCGAGATTTGACGAGCTCTTTGCGTGAATAGACTTCCGAACTTGTCTGTATTCAATGTGTCCCTGCCGTAGGTTCTTAACTCAATCTCAAAACGACAAGAGCCGCAGCCGAGGGATCAGTTGGGTGAACCAGCTGTGATATCACGATGTCAGTTGGCAAGGAGCCGAGATGGTCACACACTTCAACTAAGTCACGATCCGAGAAGGTGCTCATTCGCAACAATGGAGATATCTGGATCTGGTGCGAGAGCGTGTCCTATCTGTTTCACCCATATTGCGGAACAGAGCCTTTGTTCTCGCCGCAGCCTTGCGTAGGTAGACGAGTGCGCACAAGCCCCAAGTCTTGCTTACGTTGGGACATCACACCTGATGTTTCTCTGCTACCAGCAATGGCCAACGGATCTTTGCGTGCTACGTCCCTGCTAAAAACTGCACCGCTGTGCAGCGGAGTGTATCAGCTGCAGCGTATACTTCGCAATAGCTCCCCACCACAGGCGACATGACCCGGCCGAACGACAGCCTAAACCAATATTTTCAAGAATTGTGTGTTTTCCTTTCAGGACTGTGCTTATCCTCCTGCTGATGACTTCCGCATGTGTTTAGTTGGACACAAAGCTGTGCGGAATACGCAGTATTAAGTATGTGGCGAGGTCTTCAAGCTCCAACATGAGTGGATTCACAGATATCCTCTTTAGGCCTCGTCGTATACGAGTTTGTTATAACGCTTGACCAAGAAATGGCCGTAGTATGGAGAAGGAAGTTCACGGCCACCTCACTGCTCTTGCTAGGCATTCGGTGGCTCATGCTGTTCAACCCAATTCTGATGATTATACCTGTAGGACAAGCTGGGTGTGAGCTCGTTATGCCACTTGGAACCAGGCAGACCTCATGACACTATTCTTTAGATGTACCTTCCGCCCTCTCATGCCTCCCTGACGAGCCGTTACACCTGTGTCATCAGTTGCAGATCGGCCTACATTCTAGGTGCACTTGCGTACTTCGCGACCGTTACTCTAATATCATGTGAGATTAGCTATTCTAGAATTGAAATTGCACTTAGGCTGATCTTGAATTCTTTGTAGTGTTCACAGCTCTTCGTGTATACGTACTCTGGCGAGGGTCGCGGCTGAAGTATGTCTATCCCGCCATTATACTCGTGCTTGGCGCGGCGGTCCCGATCGGAACAAATATTGTGCGCCTTACTAGCCTTATGGGCTGTGCAGTCGTTCGCGCTAACTTTTGTTCAGTTCAACTGGGTACATAATACGACTGTATATGATAGCCTTCCGCCGCCCACCAACGACACTGTTTGCATGAGTGTCTCGAGCATGTCGCTCAAGCTCACTAAAGAGTGTGTGATAATTGGAAGCAGAGCTCCGTTGTGTGCTAACTAATTTCTTAGGAGTACGTCTGCTGCACCTAAGCAGGCACTCTTACGTCCCGACTTACATGCACACAGTGCTCTTTTTCACAAGAGGCAGCGGGATTGCTTCTGATGCCATTGTTCTTGTACTCACTTGGGTCAAGTCGTTCGAGCAGTACCGACGAATGCGACAACTCAAGCTTGAGTCGCCCATATTAGCTGTGTTGCTCCGAGACGGTATGTATGCCGCTTTCATTTGCGTGCAGTGCATCTCATAGAACATTGGTCTAGGCACGATTTACTTCATGTAAGCTTGAAGGAGTCCTGAAATTGCACTTTATCGATGAAAGCATGATAGTGCCATTCTTGCTGTCAATATCCTGCAGCTCCTGACCTACTCTAGTAATGTGCTTCGGGTAAGTGGTAGACTGCATCTGGATTCTAATGGTTCCAATCCCACGCCTACAGATTGTGTATGCTGAGAGCTTTCTTCAGTCAATGGTAGCTATTCCATGATACCTGAGGTGAAGGTAATCGCTGACCAGCGGCACCATTCTTAACAGCCCCCTTTGCTTGTGCAGCGCATCATGCTTAACCTCCGCTACCTTGGCACCGCTCGCGAAAGCGACTCAAATCCATGGCGCCCCTCCTTCCACTCCTCTATAAGCCTACAAATCCCTCTCAATTTTCTTGGCAATATTGGGGAGCCTCTAGGCCACGGCCAATCAGATGAGATGCAAGACGACGGTGAATATAACCATTCGGGTGCAATGGAAGGGCCACCAAATCAACTCAAAGAGGGTCTCATGCAGCAGATATGTCCATTATCCATGGGCCGGTATGAACAAGTGGGAGTTCATGTTGCCCCGGTATCACCATGCACTGACACTGAGCGAGCAAGTGAGCAAGGAAGCATCCGAGTCGGCTTGTCCACTTTCCAAAGTGACATGGCACATTGTGAGGTACCTAGATTGTTAGAGATCAATAGTTAGGTGAGTATATTTTGCTATGTCCTGAACAGCTCAGTGAGAGTCTTTTAGGCAGGCCAAGCAGCCACTGGCACAAACTGTCTGGTTGGTTGCCTCGGAGGCAGATTCATGACCGCACCCTCGAGTAGAGTACATTTTTCAGGTGCATCTTTCCTGTAAGAGAATTGGCGCACTCGAGATGGTCGTCAGAATGCACCAACAAGTCTGATGGCCAAAGCAATTGAGCCGTAATATCGACTGCTGGCCTAGAGAGGTGACGAAAGTATATCTCGACTGAGTCACAGTCTGTACAGATGCTTTCGCGACTGAGCACATTACACAACGTGACATGAAGGTATACTGTCTCTATAAACCCACCTTAGAGACCAGGGCCTTGATTATCTTCACTGCCGTCCCACCTGAGGGAGAATGCGTAGCTTTATCTCATGGTGTCAGGCATTCCTCCAGCGGCAGCGGCCAGCAATCCAAAGCCTGCCATAGAGGGTCATCAGTAGTGGTAGTCGATGCACTGTAAGAGAAGTACACGGGTTGAGGGGATGACGGCAAGGCAGAGAGCTTTTTTTTTCTCTTCTAAATTTAAAGTGCTACCTACGGAGGGTAATGTACACCTGTCTACTAGCATCCATGCGCACTAAATATCAGCATCCATAGTGGCGCAGGAGTCTGAGGCTCCAATAAATAGTAGACAAAATCAAAAACCGAAATGTCTCATTGCTCACTGTCTAACAGTGAGCATGGCCAAGCTGCAACTATTTGTGCAGCATACGGAGCCGGGCGGAGAGCTTTCATAGTGACAGAAAATGAGTCAGGCATGACTAAGCTGTGGCGCTTGCAAGCTCTTCCGCTCCGACGACCATCTCCAACCACAAATTTCCTGCATATCACCTCACCTCTACGACTGCTAAGCCCGGAGATGGTTTGGCTGCTTTCGAGCTTGCTCCTTTCTTTGTGCTGGGTCCCACAATGCAATTTGCCTCTGCCTGTGCGCATTGCACGTCTCCCTCTGGACACCCCACCGTCTCCACGTAGTATCATGATCTCAGGAGACAACCCCGCTGTTATAACACACGCACCAGCAATTCTCACGTCTAGCCTTGTCGGCAGAGCAGTTGTACAGGCTAAATTGTGGGCCAGGGCTTGACGCCAAAGCTGCACTGTATGGCATGAAGATGACTGAGTGTGCAGCGTCAACACTCATCGTTAACGAGGGGGCAGTAGTGCTGGTGTGGGACGCGAAGGAAGACATGGAAATCATCACGAAGAAGTGGGTGTCTCTTGCTCTCTGTGAGTACGTGTGCTGCATTTATCTTGATGTTGCTTGACAGAAATAGGAGCTCGCGGGGCAAATGCACATGCTGGAACGCATTCTCAGCTGGGCACAAACAGCACCACAGAGCCTTTGGCTTTGAATAATGAGTAGAGGGTAGAGCGGGTGCAAGCAGATCACCAAAGGGACAGGGTACGCGCGATGCTCAAGTGCACAGCATACAAGTCTGTAATTGACATTGTTCGGAGGCAGAGTCTGTCGATATGTGCATGGCAGCAGTTGAGAAACTCTAGCCCACCTGTACGGATAGGCTGTTCTATGACAATCTTGCAATCACCCAACCTGCCTGCTGCTGATAGCAATACAATGGCTGCGGTGAGAGGCACATTCCAAGATTCTGTGCTTGGCCGGTATGAGCATCTTGGCATATAGTCATGCAGACCCATTCACCACGGACTTCAGACCTCCGATATTACTTCCGATGCATCTCAGCGGATGCTGGTGGTGGTTGACCGCTGTTGAGCATATCCTGTTGCTGCATCTGCTTGGTGTTATCAAGCCCACGCAGATGCATGCAATTGCCTTTTTGTAGCACTTTAACTACTGCGTCGTTCTGGAGAGGCTTACTCACTCTGGCTCTAGAAACACTTCACTGCCGGTCGGCCTCTTGCGTGAAACGTATGTGCCGCCAAAGTCTTGGAAGAGAGGGCAACCGCGCAGGAAGTGCTGCCATCTGGATTTTGGCTGCTGATGTGAGTCCAGAGACAGCAGACTACAGATCTAAGATGCACTGACAGTTCCTAGTCTCTGCCCTACTTAGGATGGCTACCCCGTGCTCATTTCAATTGGTGCTACAATTGCTCCACGAAGTGCATTTGGTCGACTATGCCAAAACGCTAGCCTGACTCACATTATCATTGATGCTAACTCGCTGTTTGAGCCAGGGAACAGAAGAAAAAATGGGGGTGAGTAGAGCAAGGGAGAAAGCATGGTACATTTATCTGCTTACACTCTGCTACTACTGCACTGGGAACCTGGTAGCTGCTGGAGTTACAAACTGTCTCACTGAAGTCAACTGAGCACACTGTTAGTGTGACAACAATCCTGCTGATGACACGTGCAGAATAACTAAACAAACTCGAAGGTGATTCCTAAAGATATAAACTTGCTTGCAGCAGCAATTAATGGCATTGCTAGGAGTCAACAGCAGTATGTGTCCTACGCCAGCTAGAACCCCTTTGTTGACAGTGTCATATTTTGCTGGGGAGCACTTTGCAAGCTGTACAACCAATGCATTTAGTGCAAATTCTCATGGAGTATGGACTTGTTACATATGACATTTATTCAT